AAAAGCTTCAAGAAGAGTCAAAGACTCGTTGTAAAACATCCTCAGCTATCCAAGACCTATCATATGGTAGTACAGAACCCATCATCATCTTTAGACGCATTAGCATCCTCGCTCCGTGAATCATCTTCGTTGTTATCGAAGGAATCTTCAAAATTGTATTCATAGTTGGAATCTTTAGATGCAATAGCATCCCCATTCCGCGAGTCATCGGGTGCACTTACCTGTATCTTGACTTCTGATGGATCAGAATCTCGATCAATCTCTTCACTTATCGAATTAGAGGAAGTGGTTATAATATTTACCTTGGTTTCTGATAAAACTTGATCGTTCCCCGGGGGAACGGTTTTCGATTTCACTTGATCTATAATATTCTGAATTTGTACATTAGTCAATTTTGAAATCTCATTCGCACTATATGTAATCAGCTTAATTTTATCTATTCCGACACCATTTTCTCCGAATAACATAAGAAGTTTTCTAGCTCTAAGAGTTTTTTTACGCAAGTTATCTTGAGTGATATTAGGAAGAAACGGTTTCATTTCTTTATAAATCATCGTTCTTGCTGTTTTGTCTTTGATCTTACCATCAGCTGTAATAACATGAACCCTGTTTTCAAATTCAAGGGAATAATAATACCAGTTTAAGATTTCCTGTTGTCGAGATTTGATTGCCGTTTTAAATAAATAAGATAGATGTTGAGCTGGACCTTTATTTTCTGTAGAGTTGGTATTACCTATAGCAGAATCAACAGTGGAATCAATGAGGCATTGCTTATCAGTAGATAAATATAATTCTTCAATCAAACCCTGCTCTACGATTTCATTTTTATCAAACTCGACATCTTGCTCTAATTTAGATATTTCTGAACTAATAGTCTTTGTATCACATGATAAATTTACATCTCGATCGTTCCCCAAGGGAACGGTTTTGATATTACATAAATTTCCATCTTGATCGTTTTTTGAGAGAATGGTTTCTGTACTACCATATGATAGGTCTTGGATAGCTGAGGATGTTTTACAACGAGTCTTTGACTCTTCTTGAAGCTTTT